TTAATTTTTTTTTTTTTCAACGTTTATTTATTTTTTTGGGACAGAGAGAGACAGAGCATGAACGGGGGAGGGGCAGAGAGAGAGGGAGACACAGAATCGGAAACAGGCTCCAGGCTCTGAGCCATCAGCCCAGAGCCTGACGCGGGGCTCGAACTCACGGACCGCGAGATCGTGACCTGGCTGAAGTCGGACGCTTAACCGACTGCGCCACCCAGGCGCCCCCAGAACCGTTTTTTAAATAAAGAAAATACATATCATTGAGAGTATTTTGCCTTTATCCTAAGAACTGCACAAAGATCTAAAAAAAAAATCTTTAAAACTTTGATTATAATTTCTACACATTATAAGCCTTAGGGCTTTCAAGTATTCCCTCTTCAAATTGTATTAAACCAAACTACACACACACACACACACACACACACAATTTTGTTACTTAATTCCTGGAGTTCAAAATTTTACAAACACTAAACTGATAAATGACTATACTACATCTTTTAGTTGAATATATATGGCATGCCTTTCTCCCCCTTACCCCCAAAAGCACTAAAGAAACTCCTCCCTTCGGGCTGTTAGAAGGTATTCTCTTTTCTGTGATGTTATCATTGCCAATGTTCATCATAAAAGTCCCTGCATCCAGACCAGGACATCACAGAAGAGGAACAGAGCACTTGCCCCTCCTGAACCAGACAGAAATGAACATTTGCTGAGAAACATTATTCCTGTTGCTCAGACTGATAATAGTATCACACTATTAAAGAAACTTAGGAATTTATCTTAGAAATCAAAACACCACTAATTATATAATAAGATATATCCCATTTTCTATCCTATACCACTGACTTACCAAAGAAAACATGCAATAATCAGCTTTAAAACTGGAGAACTACATATAAAGATACTGTTTGTTCTTCACTAAGAAATTAAGAAAAAAAAAATTGAAAAGCTAAAAATGCAAGAGATTATCCATTTCTTTGGTACTTTTTATATATCTCTATGTAGTAAAGCACCTTGGGACATTTAATCATGTGCCCTAACTTTCACTGTCTCTGTTTTAAAACTACATCTAAAATATCTAATAAATAGTGCGTCTTACCTTTTGCATACACATGTCAGCTATTATGGACAGAGGTATTGTAAGGCTTAGTGCAAGTGTGCCTATCAACGATGAGGTAAGAAAGCAGCCCCTAAAAAGGAAAAAGAAGAAAATACATGTTTCCATATTAGAAGAGTAAAAAAACCAAAGGAAATATGGACATGAGAGATCAGGAGCAAAAACAAAAGCTTAGGACAGACTCAGACACAATAAAGCAACTAGAAAGATTCTTAAAGTTTACCTTCAAATACTAAAAATCCAAATAAGTAGGAATAAAACTTTCAAAGTACTTTATGCCTTTTTCCAGATCTGCTTACAGATATTATTCAATTTGGATGCATAGCTTCTATTTCATTAACATTTTTAATAAAATTGCTGGAAGAGTTCTCATAGTTTTGTAATGACGATACTTAGCTAACAAAGGAAACAGCTTTATTAAACTGCAGGACAACACTTCACACCACAGACTTCTAAGAAAGTGATAAGCCAACACGTGAGTCTTTCACCAAACCAAAAATATCTCACCCTCATGAAAACTAAAATAGTCTTGTGACCTGTGTTGTTCTTTTGGTTTGGCTCAGCATTGAAAAGGACTGGTTATTTTTTAATGGTACTTCTTTATTGCTTTCCATTTTTCTAGCAAATGTCCTAACCAAACTTAAGCTCTTCACTTTATTTTCCCCTTGAACTACGAATGTTGGTATCAAATTTTGAAATAGCAATCTGCACATGATTTTGTTTAGTTGAAAGAAAAAAAAAATGAAAGAAAGCATTATACCAAATAGGTAAGCCATTTATACAGACTAATAATTTGTATGAAAAGAAAACAGGGCGCCTGGCTGGCTCAGTCAGTAGAACATGAGATTCTTGATCTCAGGGTCATGAGTTCGAGCCCCACATTGCAGGCAGAGGTTACTTTAAAAAAGAAAAAAAGAAAAAAAAGAAATTATAACCCAAGATAAAACTGTAATGCATGTAATTGTGACTTACAGACCCATGGAAATTCTAGGTTAGTAAATTCTAGCTCAGTATATATTAGTATTAATAATGCTATCCTGCAATAAAAGAGGCTATCTTGATAAAGTGTCACTCAACATATTCACTAGAGGCTATACCATTAGTTCTTAATGCAGGAAAGAGAACTCAAGTACTAGTGGTTCCCACTACTTATGAGCTAACTGCTCTGTGAAAAGACAGTTCAGGAGGTCAATTTTTCCTTTTTTAATGCAGCATATGTACTTAGAGACTTGTAACACAAAGTACTATCATAAAGAGTCTGAGATGAAGTATTAAAAAGGAAACTATTTGGGGTGCCTGGGTGGCTAAGTTGGTTAAACATCCGAATCTTGATTTCAGCTGATGTCATGATCTCACTGTCATGAGATCAAGCTTAGCGCAGAGCACGGAGCCTGCTTAGGATTCTCTCTGTCTCCCACTGCCCCTCCACCGCCTGTGCTTGCATGTGCATGCTCTCTCTCTCAAAATAAATACAGAAAAAGAAAACTATTTGACTTATACTGCCTTTTCCTAATTTAGCTGATGGCTGAATCCTTTTATCATTTATTATCATTTCAGGGGCACACTCTGGGAAACGCTGAGACAGAGAACTAGGTGCTACCATACAACATCTAATACAAATGGTACAGTATATGCGCTTTACAGCACACCTCAATTTTTTAAAAAGAAACAATGAGGGACAAGAACACATCTTCAATTTACAAAAAAAAGTTCACAACCATACTTTTAAATCTGTAGTTTACTACTCAGCCCTTGATTATGTACGCTGAAGTTTACTGTTCCATTTACAGTTAAACATAGAATAACCCTGCTTCTCCCAAAGAAGGGAATCATTATACATGCAAATTATGACTTCTGAGAAATGTGTATTTTCTTATAATTTAAAAAAAGGTAAAATATAGAGAGATATGTTTCTTATACTTATACTTGTTTTGTTGCCAAAAACACCAGAGTATAAGGGATATGTTTGTTTCTTCACTGACTGGTTTGCTGCTACTGAGTTGTTATCATTAGTACTCTAAACACTCGAGTATTAGAGTGTATCTGAAAAATAAACCTTCTTGAGATCCTGAAAAATCCATTCTAGGTAAGGATAAATATAGCTTTTATCATAATATATGACTTTGTATAATTTAACTATTCAACAATACTCATATACTCATATATCAATACTCATATATACACAGCTGGGAATATAAGTTGTGTTTCCTCTGTGGAGAATGACATTGCAATTCTCTATCAAAATCTAAAGTCCCTATAATTGACTCAGTCTTTTCCACTTACAGATATTTATCCTAGAGAATGCTTACATATATACCCAAGGACATATAGGAGAATATTCAATGCTATTTTATTTACAAAGTAAAGGAATGGAAACTTAAAATGCCTCTCAATAAGGAACCAGTAACATACATTATATTCTACTTATTATGTTACATAATGGATTGAAACATAATGTATTAGAACTATACATAGGCTTTTAAAAATGAACTGAACCTAAGTGCTGATATGTGAAGATTTATAAGATAATCTGTGAAAAAAACCCAAAGTACAGAACACTATCTATAGTATGCTCCCATTTGTGTCTTAAAAATAAAACAATTTGTTGGAGTGGGGGGTGGTAATTAGGAGACTGACACACCCTTCTGCACGTACAGAAAAATTTGTAGAAGGCTTAGAAGTTAACAGTGGTTGTCTATGAAAGAAAGGAATGGAGATTTGGAGTGAAAAAGAGATAATAGGATTTCCTTTTCATTGTACACCCTTTTGTATACCTTTGCATGAATTACTCTTTTCATTCTAAAAAAGTTATATTAAAAAAATTTCAAAACATGTTATTATTTATTTAAATGTAAAGTTTTTCCAAGGGAGCAACTAAAAAACTCACATAGAGAAATTACATGTCATGCTTGATCATCCTCCAGAACCTATATCAAATTCTGCTAAACATAATAAAACTCTATTGTATATGTTTATTAAAAATAAAGCTCTCAATAAAGAATGAGCATTTTAATACTTACAGGTGGCACAGTCCATGTTTACTATGAGTCTTAATGTAATAAGCATCATACTAAACCCTTTCACTAGCCAACACCCAAAGAAAAATTTAATTATTGCTTTGAAATATATTCATTTGCTTTGAAATTTTCTAATTTAAACTAAACTTAAAGAACTAGAAAACATGAACTTGTATTAAAATATGGTTAAGTACACATAATTATTTAAATTGCAGTAAAAAATGGCTGAAGATCAACAATTCTTCACGACTCAACTGAGTTCAATCAAAACTCTACCAGAGTAAGGAATTCTACCTGTCCAGACCCAAGAGTAGAGAGAGGCAAGAGAAATGAGACAAAAGAAATACCAAAATTGATAGAAAAGAATAGGATGAAAGAGAGTATATGATATATAATATAGGAAATAAAATACATAACTCTCTTTGATGCGCACCTAAAATACATGCAATGAAAGATGGAAGAATGAATGAGTAAATGGATTCTGATATCAAAGAGTTTTAGATCAGCAAAGGAATTTAAATACATAAATTACTACAAATGAAAGTTAATCTTTCAGTACTACAAATGAAAGGGAGTGTGGGAGACTATCAAGAAAACAGAGAAATTTCCTTAATTGAGGAAGGGGGAAAGTACAGGCAAAGCATTAAGGAAATCCGTGGAAAAGGCTACTTTTGTTGTAGTCTTTTGCAAGGGAAAACTAGTTAGTAGTCTTAACTAGCATATAATAAAAAATTCCTTTTAGGAGTTTAGATACAATTTGTGTTTTTTTGTTTTTTTGTTTTTTTTTCAGTTCCTATTAGATGGAAACAGGACTAAGTATCAAGCTCTATATCTGAAAGATTTCTTAAACACCACACATAATATTGTCTTCAAACTATTTTAGGATCATTATGACATATCAACATACTTGGTATTATAACATTTCAAAGCATGTTATCATTCCAAGTTAATCGAGGTTTAGGGTTACACATCTGGCTCACCTACACGAAAAGCCCTAAGAATAAAAAAACAAAAAGCATCTATGAACGACCAGACATTCCAAAGTCTCCTAAATAAGCAAAGCTCCCTAGATTCTCACTCAGAACTCATGTTATTCATATTTAGAATATAAACCTCGCAAGTTTAGATGTCCATTAGGTAATGGCACCTTTCATTTATATAACATTCTGCCTTTAAAACACTTTTACAAATGTAGATCATTTATGTTCATCAGAAATTTATTCAACAAATATTTGTTGAGCTCATTCTATGTGCAAGGTAATACTCTACACAATGGGTGCACAGAAGTTAAAAGACAAAGTTCTTGCTCTAGTAGAGTTACTTTATTAAATTGTGAAGTGTGCGGGGTGGGAAGGTGCACAGGAGGAACCATCAAAAGACAGAAGAAATATAAAATACTTAATCTATCCCAAAGTCCATAAACTGGTAACTAATAAATGATAGTGTAATAAATAGTACATACCACAACCACAGGAACTCTGAGAGAACCGTTCCAATAAGGCCATTAATGATAATGCACATTAATACTACTTTATTGGGAAACTCAAAGTCCTCAAATCCAGTATAATGAAGTAAAAAGAAACCTGGCCATAAGAGCAGCAGATTAAACAGACCTACAAAACCTAAATATGTATAAAAGAGACAAAAGTTAGTAATTGTGATTTATTTAAAATTTTCAAACTTATAACTCTATAATTAGAGAACATTAGATTTTGCACAAAGAGTTCTAACTGGTTTTCTTAACTGGAACTTCTGTTTCTTTGGTTCATATCTATGGACAACTCAACACCAGAAAAAACTACACTAGCAGCTGGTGATCACTGAATCTTCAAGGTTCAACTATTCACTGCACGGAGCAACTCCTATGGAATAAACTACTTAATTCAGAAAGAAAGGTTGCTAACCTTAGCTACTAATAATTTAGTGTCTTCAAACTTAAAGAAACAATTGGTATATGGTATGTATATAGATATTCAGCCTAAATTATGAGGAAGTTGATGGCTGCTCCCTGATTCAACTCATATTTATGTATAAAACACCTGTGGCATGCTCGGAATAATGAAGGAAGTTTCCAAAACAATACATTCTTGGTTCTTGCCTTCCAGGAGCCTATAAACTAGTTGGTGAGAGAACATACCTACATAAATAGCTACTCAACATATGAACTAAGGACAGACTGACTACTCATAAAGGAAGGCTGTAACATTTAGTGGTTGACTGTATGTGCTCTGCAGTCTAATTGCTCTGGGTTCCAATCCCAGCTCCACCATTCACTAGTAGTGTAAACTTTGTGCAAGATGCAGAACCTCTTTGAAGCCTCAGTTTTCTAATCCGTGAGTGTAAAATCATACCTAAATAGGTTAGTGGGAGGATTAGATTAACACTTACAAAATACAGCATAGTACTAGCATAAAGTAAAAAGTTAGTAAAAGGTGAGCTATTATTGTTATTATAGAAATGCAAGTTTATATGAGTCCCTATGAATACAAAGACTGTAAAGAAAAAAATTACAATTTTATAGTAATTTTATTGCACTTTCTGTACAGTTAAACATTGCAGATCCACTATGAGATTCATTAGATAACTATAGAGCTTTCTTCAAAGTTAAGTTATAGTAAATATATATTTCATATTTGTTGCTAAATAATAGGCTAGTATTTCGGATGCCTAGTTAAATCTTTACAGGACTGGAGCACCCAGTCTCTATCTGCTCCTAAAGATTCACAGTTACCTGCCTCCTCTGAAGAATGGTCTCGGAGAGCAAACAAGCCAAATATTCCCAAGAAGTGATCACCCCACACTGTCTGCATCCCACAACTAACCCATAGAGGATGCACAAGGCTCCTCTCATGGCTGAAATCCTACTGTCTGTGAGGACGCCTGTGAGGAGTACCTAGACATTACCGGCTCCTTTCCCTCTCCATCTCCTGCCCCGACATGCCATGAACTGGGCCAAACCTCAATTATACTGAGACCATAACAGTTCTTTCCCCTACTCTATCCTGCTTTTCTTACTCCCTTGTCAGGTTTCCCTGCAGAGCATCCCCTCAATACATCACCCACAAGAAATTCCTGTCTCATATCCGGATTTTAGAATACCCAATTTAAGACATCTAGTGATAAAAATAAAAACAAACAAAACGACACATATACAGAAGGGATTCATGATCTGAAAAGCTTACACAACATTAAGAAGTTGTCGTAATCAAAACACCGAAATTTGGCATGATCAAAAACCAAATCTACTTTGCCGTCCCTGGACTATCAAGTCTATGGAATCCCACATGTATTACCAACCTCTGAACCTAAAAACAAAGGTCCCAATTGCTTCCACCCTCCAGAATCTGGCCTGTATACCCTCCTGTTCTTCCCTAAAGTGGGCTCTCCAGAACAATCGCACAGATTCACTCACTGTTCTTTGTTATGCTCTGCTCACATCTCCAACCCTAAAGAACCCTCCACAATCCAATCCTAACTTCTTTCTGGTCCTGCCTATTATAAAGCCTAGATCAAATCAATATTGTGTTATAGATCATGTCATATATGATATATAAAAATCACATATGATTTTTTTGTCTGTATGTAATAAGAATAAATTGAAACAATTTTTCCTGAAAATTGCCAATCTTAAAAAAAACACACACTCAAAAAATATTAGCATTTCATTCCATTCCAGGTGGAATTTTCTATGACCCTAAAATAAGACATTATTAAAGTTACCTTCATATTTAAGGCATATTTATTGAATTCCATACTTAAACTTGAGTGATCACCTGGTCTGGTAGCTTTCCAAATGTTTTGTTTCTGTTAAACTTTAGGTGAAGATATTCAAACATTTCTTAGCAGAAAAATATTTTCTACAAATCAAATTACAATGCAAAAGCCCAAGAAAACAGAGCTGTTCCAACTGAAGCAGCAAAGGGCTCTAAGAACCAGAACCATACATGCAACTCCACCTCCTCCCACCCATCCCAGGATCCTCTGCAAATCAGTTTGAAAGCTACTCATCTGTCCAATCTCCTTATTTCTCAGGTGAGTATGAAATAAATGAAATTATAACAACTATATTCTTGGTCTCCTAATTCCCCATAAGCTGTACTTTGAACTTTCATCACCAGGCTTTTTTTAATCTACTGATATTCAGATATCTTTTAGAAGATATCTACAGATATCTGACAGATAACACAACTATTTTACTCAGCTGATATCAGGCAAATGAGAACTTATAAGTTCTCATATTCAGTATTTTATTTACAAAAATTAAGAACTGATGCCAGAAACTACATTTTGGTAATTTGAAAAATCTATGTCATAAAAGAGCCTATATCTTAAAGAGCAGATGGAAAGCCTTTAAGTGTCCCATGAGTTTTAATGAAAAGTACATAGACTAGAATAGTCTTCTTTGCTTCTAAAAAGTCAAAAATGGTAAAATGTGTAATACAACAGGTATACTCTCACATGCTTATAATAGCATAATTCTTTCCTATCAATGAGGAAAATATCTGATTCACAGGCTGAAACATGAATGCAAAGAAGGCATTAGGAAGAATTTCTTTCTTTACTTCACACTGAGGAAACTGGCCTTCTGTCAGAGGTACACAGTTATGAAGGACAAGGTATGAGAAAAACACTGAGACTGGACTTCAAGAGCCTTAAAATCTGACAGTTTTAAAGAATCATATGGAGGAAAAGAGAAAGGCTTCCTTATTCCCTCTAGAACAAAACCCTAAGCTAATCATTCAGAGTAAATAGCCTCACAGGTTAAACATATTCTTACCAAAGAACATTGGAATATCCAACTTATCTTCTCTGTCTACTTTTCTCTTAATCATAACAATATAGACAGCATAGAGCATGGCTCCAACAAGAGACCAAATGGAACCTGTAAAAATCAACATAATGAGTTCACGCATTTTTCATTAATTCATTCAACACACACTTATTTAAAATCTAATACAGTGTCAGATACTATTTCAAGAAGTACACAAATATGAAAAGATAAACTATAGCCCACCCCCTCCATGTCCTCCAGGAGTTCAGGAAGCAGTTTAAAGAGTGAACAAACACATGTGCAAACATCCAATGATCTATACAAACACACATAATGTTAAAACCATGGAAGTAACTATTTGTTTTTTTAATTTTGAAATGCTACTTCAGTTTGACACCTGACACTGTCTGGTGTAATAATGGTTAAGCCATTGCTTATACAGTCCTCCCCACTGTCATGTATCATCTTTAGTATATATTGTACTACCATTTTCAAGGCCCTGTTCAAGTCCCACCTCTGCCACAAAGCATCCTCCTCCTACTCCACTGAATTTCCATCCTCTTGGTCTTCTATTTTAGACAATTTAATATTTACATGGTTAAATGTAATATTATTTTATTCTCTAGTGTTTTTATTTTGTAAGTCTAGGTAATGATTAAAGTCAAGAACTTGAAAAGTACAAACATACTTTTTAATGTTTTCTAAAATATCTAATACATGGCGTATAGTACGGGCATAATAAATGCTGATTCTCTTTAATATTAACTCATTCTCAAAGACATTTAAGTAAGTTTTAAAAACAGCTAAATTAATGTGCTGTCTGCCAAGCGACCACATTTAATACTTCAATTAATTATCCCAAATTCCAATGTTTTATTGAATCTATTTTTTAAAAATTTAACTTTTTTAAGAAAGCAAAAAAAGTCTATCAATAAAACCTCACGCATACACAACAAATACATATATCGTTTTACATATACAAAGCTGCTGTGGGTGAGAAATGATACAGTTCAAGGCACAGCTATCAGTTCAAGGGTGAGAAAGACATAAGCAGTTCAAGGCATGAACTATGCCCGGGCAATAACCAGGGATAGCTTAGAAAGCAGTGTTCCATTCAATGAATTTCAAATATCTAAACAAAGTATCCAGAAGGAAGCCATAAAACTGGGTTCTACTATCTTTGTTTTTGTTCAGTCTAAACAATAGATCAAAACTGAGTGTTCACCATAGCACTAAATGTTTCAGGCAAGAATCATGAGTGAACCACAAAATTAGTGGGTGCAAGTATAATAGAAACATGGTATGTGCGTAGTCTTAAAGTATCTCCCTACAAGATGCTTACTAGTTGCAAAGAAAAAAGTTAGTAACTTGACACTGGAGCATCCTGGCAGGCACTACCTTAAAAATTAGTCACTACTAATGGGACAACACCATGTGCCTTCTAATATGATTTACTGATCAGGACACTTCCAATATCACTTCCATGGCATTTTAATCAAAAATACACAACATAAATTTAACCATAAGGAAGTATCAGACAAACCAAGAGTGAGGAACATACCACAAAACAACTGGACAGTATCCTTTCAAAGTGTTAAGGTTATAAAAGAAAAAAAAAAAAAGACTGAGGTACAGTTCTAGATTAAAGGAAACTAAGGAGACATGACAACTAAGTGCAACAAGTGATGCTGGACCAGAAAAAGAACATTCATGGGAAACATGGTGAAATATGAAAAGGATATGCAAATTAACTAAATTATAATCAATGTTAATTCCTGATTTTTGTAACTATACTGAAGCTATGTACACAGCGGAGAATCTGAGTGATGGCTATATGAGAATTCTATTAACTATTTTCTAATTTTTTTACATGATTTCCAAAAAAACGTTAAAAAAAAAAAAGGCCCCATTAGTGCCCACCCTCTGTGTGTGTGTGTGTGTGCACATGCACATACATGCACACAAGGACATAAACACTGATATGTACAAACTGTCTTGTATACTGTAACAGAAAGAATGCAAAGTCAAGTACTTACTTACCTATTGTATCTCTTCCAGCAGATTTTTCAGACCCTGACAAATTAACCAGCACAACACCTCCAATGCTGTGAGAATAAGAGCATTACTAATAAGCAAAATAATACATTCCTTAAAAGGGCTAGTAATGAAGATAAAAATTATTTACAAGTAATCAAGACTATGCTCAAAACTGAGCAAAACTTAAACTGTCAAAGAACTTAGTGATTTAATTAATAATATTTAGCAATGATAACAGGACAGTGTAAATGCTATACTTGTATTCAAATCATTTAATTCTTGCAAAATGTACAAATTACTTTATAATAAAGGTATTACTGTTGTTACCATTACCATTTTACACATGAGAAAACTCACACACAAACATATGAAGTAACTTGACCAAAATCACACAGATGGGACTGAATCTATCGGTAGCCTGCTTCTAGGTAAGTATTCTTACCTCCTATGCTACCTACTGCTTTTGGTTAAGAAGTAACCAACTTTTCAGCCTCTTCCAAACTTGTTTTTGAAGATATGCATACAGTATACCCATACAAACCTAGCGATAGCACAAATGCTGCCTATTGGTAAAACCTAAATTAACAATAAAACCATACTTAAATATTTGAACGATTAATTATAAATTGACAAAAAATTCAACCGAATTAAACTTCATTTACTTCCCCAATACAAATATATTGTATTCCCCTAACACAAGAATAGGTTTAGCTAAAACATTAGCTAATCATACATGCAAAATAATAAACTTCTAGTGGGCATAACATCTAAATAATAAATTAGTTGGGTCAACCGGCCTACCCCTGAAAACTACCATGGTTATGGCTAAAAGAGAAAAACACACCGTAATAAGAGCTACCACGTATGTGACTACCAAGTACCTCAGTCCCTGTGATAATTGCTTTTTATATACACTGGCTCCAAACTTTCAAACAAGGCTAATACGATCATCATGTTCTCACCTAGGAAACTATCTCAGAGAGCTTAAGGAAACTGACAGGAAAAAAGAACAAAGCTCTGACTCAAACCCAGCTCTGACAGCTAAGAAACACTACTCTCTTCATTAAATCATTCAACTTTCTTCTCTGATTTCTGATTTTTTCTCATAAAGACAACAGCTTTATGAAACCAATACATCTTTGTTGAGTACTGTCAGTAAGCAAAGCCCTACGCTACACTGCAGGCGGCACAAATAAGCAGCAAACAAGGCTCTGGCCTTTAAAGGTTTATAACCCATAGAAAAGACAAGACAAACATACACAAAGTTACATAAAAGATTTAAATACAGTTATTGACAATACTGATGTTACACACTAATTCAAAACTGCCAGATGGTTTATACAGAAAACAACTGAAAGATCATGTGAGGATGAAATAATCAGAGAAGACTGCACGTTTGATTACTAGGAGATATAAAACCCAAAACCAAAACAGAAAGAGGAACTTGTTTTAGGAGAAGGAAACAGGAACTTGGGAGGTGATGAGGATTAAGGTGCCACATTAAGTTAAATGTAAACATCAGTACAATACACAGTAGTATACTGTCTGTCCTCACTTGAATGGGAACCAAAGCTGCTTTGGGGTCCCTCCCTCCAGTTAACTCTCCCCAGGACCATTTAGAAAACTAAAGAAGGACCCGATCCAAGGCTGCATAGCATGATATCCACATAAACCCTTCTTTCATCCTCATCTTGCTTTGCCATAGTATAATATAAACTATCCTATGTCACTAACAGAAAAATTTTAAACATTATATTTTTAAGCAGAATTAACTAGCTATTATGGTACATTCTTACCTTAAAATTACAGCTAGTAGTTTAGAAAGAGTAAATCTATCTCCACTGTTACTTGGAAACACTGCAGCAAGAATTAAGGTAAAAAGTCCTGCAGGGAAAAAAGATACATCAGCTTTAATACTGTGGAAAGCAGCCTTTAAACTAAATCATGTTTATTTCAACAATACAGATTAAGTATAACCCTACTTATTTTAAACTAATAAGAGTTAAATTGAGCATTCAGAGTAACATTATGACCTCATCATAATCAAGCATGTGTGCTCAAGTTATTTTTACAGCTTCAAAAATACTTTTTCTCTCCCAGATTTGGAAGGTGATTCAATTTTTAAAATAAAACATCTTTCATTGGGTAAATTATGGTTCTGAAAAAAGCAATTACATTTAGCCAAAGGGTCCAGAAAAAGATCTTCAGAAAGAATATGTGAAAGGAATGACAACCAAAATACAAAAAAACAGCCCATCAAACTTTAATATGTTGTTATATAAAAAATGCCATAACATAGTCGAAGGAATGTAAACAGTACCAGGCCACAGCATAAAACTACAAACATTTATGTAGTTACAACACACTAATGTACATTATTAGAATGAATGTAATTTGTAATAAGATAAAAATGTGTGTATATGTACATACACATATAACAGAAAAAGGTTTCAAGTTATAATGTAAATTTTGAAGACAAATTTCTTACCAGAGGTTGAGGACAAGATATTAACTATAGCAACCTGTGTGTCCGAAAGTGCTTCTTGATATGACAAATTTGCCAGAAACCACTAAAGACAAAGAAAACAAAGTGAACCCAATTGAATGACATGCTTACATCTGTCACAGTTTATAGGACCCTCCTTTTTTTTTCTCCCCCTAAATATTTTATCATAAGAGCTTTTAAAAAGTTGCTTTCTATTGAAAAATCACAAGCTCAAAAAAGAGGGCATTTACAATTAGATCTAAGATCGTTGCTATTCAATTTCCCTTAAGAAATTAACAATAGCTCATTAAAATTAGTATTCAAGTTTTTTTTTTAATGAGGGTAAAACTGAGTATCAACTTTAAAATTTGCTTTATCCAAACACTTCTAGCATTCTATTAAAGTTTATCTAAATCAAATTTGAATTTGGGGAAATTCTCCAATATTAAAATATGTACAGATAAATATAGCATGATGAGAAATCTACTCAACGAGATGATGCCTATGGGGATGGATCAAGGTAGCTACCAACTAGGTAGACTGATAGATAAAAAGACATTCATTTTGGAAATCTAAAAAAGTCCAATAAAAAATGTGAATTTGCTAGCTAATTATGATTATTTCTCTGATACTCAGTTTGGAGACACAATACAAAGAGTTCTCATAACTGGATATAATTTAAGGAAGTTTTCCAGTTTGAGGATTTTTTTTTTTTTTTTCTTCTCTTAGGCTCATCCAGGCTAGGATATTCTTATATCCTCAATACTGTGCCTAATTTAAGGAATAAGAAGTAAGACTTATTTTTGATGAAGCCTGATGTGTGTGTTGGGGGCAGGTGTTCCAAAATTCATTTATTTTTACTGCTATTAGATATCCTAATGCCTATTATCACAACTCATTCATTTTTCTGTTAATGGATATTTTTTGACTATTTCAAACAATGATACTATGAACATTCTAGTGCATGCCTCCGGGTACATATGTGCATGAGTGCATATATATACTAAGAAGCAGACTGCTGGATCAAAGTCAATTAACTCCTCTCTGTTTTTGGCATCACTGTTACTTAGACATTCATATTCCACTGAAGAACAAATGTCCTCTTAAGAAAGGTACACCTCTTGATCTCTCTCAGAACTTTTAGTTACGTGAGTACTACAATTATTAGCATACACATTTCAGCGAAGCAACAAAGGCATATCTTAGACCACTGCTAGAAGGCAGCAGATAGCTGAGTCTAGTAGATTCATGTAGTCTACACTGTACTCAAAGTGAAAGCCAAACTATAGCAAAGTGATTCTGACACCATCTGTAGTTCTCTGACTCCCTAGATAATTTCACTTGACTTTCTAAATGAGAAAATGAGCTAACAATTGCTAAGATGAACAGTATCAAACATATATGGCAATAAAAGCCACAATCTGCTTGTGGTTCAAGTGCTAGAAAAGTAAGATTCTACTCTTAAATATCTTTTGGAGATCTGTCTGCAAGAACCGATAAAACTTACAGGGTGATCATGAGCTTTCTGGACCCACTTTCCTTACCACTTTAACACATAAATACTCATTTTCCAGACAATCTCACTGTCTCTGCTAATACAAGATACAGAAATAAAAACAGATCACTTAGGTAGCAGCCATTCAAACTCCTAAGAATTCATCATGAGTTATAAATAAACTCTTTCTAGAAAGACCTTCCTATTGTTCACCTCTCCCCATTCTCTGGCTTTCAAACCCAACGCACTCTTATCACAAAAGAAGATTCATCTCAATTACCCTCCAATAAAAATTAACCTTACAGTGTTTCACTTTATTATTCCAGAGTTGAGGACAACCACTTACTAATAAAATAATCTATCACAAATAAGTCATATATTTCATTATTTCATGAGTGATAAGTTATTTTAAAATTATCATAAAAGGTACTCTAGATAAGTACTATATGACCCAAATTATATCCTACAGAGAAAAATTAAAACACCACAAGTCCTCATGAGACAAAAGACATTCAAGGTGGACTGGCAAATACAGTAATCACTAACTCCTTCTGTCCTGCACTGTACATTAGCCACTAGCCACATGTAGCTACTGAGGAACTGAAAAGTAGCTAGCCTGAACTGAAATGTTTTGCAACTAAAACTGAAAAACTGAAGTTGAAAAGAAATAGAAACTTAAATAAAAATAGAAATTTAAATGAAATTGAAATGCTTAGAAGATTTTAGTACAGAAAAAGAATATAAACTATCTCAATCTTACACTAATAACATGTTAAAATATTTTATACATGGTGCATTAAATAAAAATATAGTATTAAAATTAACTTTACTTGTTTCTCTTAACTTGATTTCTCTTTTAAAAATTTTTAAAATATCATTTAAAAAATTTGGGAGGTGCCTGGGTGGCTCAGTCAGTTAAGCATCCAACTTCAGCTCACGTCATGATCTCAGGGTTTGTAGGTTCAAGCCCCACATTGGGCTCTGTGCTAACAGGTGACAGCCTGGAGCCTGCTTCGGATTCTGTGTCTCCCTCTCTCTCTGCCCCTCCCCAGCTCATGCTTTGTCTGTCTGTCTCTCTCTTTCTCTCTCTCAAAAATAAATAAACATTTTAATTTTTTTTTAATTTTTTCTAATTGTAGAAAATTCAAAAATACATAGGACAACCACATTTCAGGCTCATATTATATTTGTATTGAATAGCACTGCTCTAAACCTTATCAAAGCTTATCACTCTCTTAAATAAGGTTTCCAAAAAGCTTTATTATTCTTTCTATAGAAATGTCTTTACTAAATACTAACATAGCTTTCTAGGCTTGTAACTTATTTAGGTTTTATTCTATTCTATTCTATTCTATTCTATTCTATTCTATTCTATTCTATTCTATTCTAAAGACTACCAAAAGTGGAAACCACCCAAATGCAGATCAACGGATAAATAAACAAAACATGGTATATCCATACAATGAAATACTATTCATCCTTTAAAAGGAAGAATGTTCTGGGGTACCTGGGTGGCTCAGTTAAGCATCCAACTCTTGATTTCGGCTCAGGTGATGATTTCATGGTTCCTGAGTTCAAACTCTGCCTTGGGCTCCACACTGACAGTGTGGAGGCCTGCTTGGGATCCTCTCTCTGCCCTTCTCTCTCTGCCCTTCCCCCAGGCATGTGTGCATTCTCTCTCTCAAAACAAATAAACTTAAAAAAAAATTAAAAGGAAGAAAGTTCTGACACATGCTATGAGGATGAACCTTGAAGACTTTATGCTGAGGTAAGCCAGTCATAAAGGCAAAAACAGTATATGATTCCATTCATAGAAGGTACTTAAGAGTGGTCAAATTCATAGTGACAGAAAGTAGAATGGTGGTTGTCAGAGGCTGGGGAAGATAATAAAGGGGACTTATTTAATGGATATAGAATTTCAGTTTTACACAATGAAAAATGTTCTGTTGATAGATGGTGGTGGTTGTACAACGATGTGAACGTACTTAATGCCACTAAAGCTATATACACTTAAAAATGGTTAAAATGAAAAAAAAAGGTTAAAATGGCAAATGTATAGCACATATATTTCATCACAATTTTTAAAAGGCTTTTTATATGCACATATCTATCTGTATATAAACCTGCTACATGGAATAGTACCTATGTAATGTATTTAATCTATGTAATACATTCTCTCAGAGTCATGAGTTGGAAAATTGCTTTATCCAAAGAAGGGAAATACAGTATTTCTTTTTAATAGGCAATAAGTTGTGTAATTCATGAGGTTTTCCTATTTGCCTTTCCTTTTACCAATTTGCCTAGGGATAAACTGTGTGCTCATTTGAAGTAGCTTTCTTCCTTTAAATTGAAGTTCCTGATATAATCATCCTATTCCACAACCAGCTCCCCCCCTAAACAGACACACACACACACACATACACATACACACACACACACACACACACACACACACACACACACACTACCCATTTAATCTGGCTCTTATCTTTCCCTCTTTTTTTTTAAAGTGTATATATTTATTCTGAGAGAGACCATGAGCAAGGGAGGGGCAGAGAGACAGAGAGAGAGAATCCCAAGCAGGCTCCATGATGTCAGCACAGAGCCCAGTGTGAGGCCCAGTCTCATGAAGTGTGAGACAGTGACCTGAGGCAAAATCAAGAGTTGGACATTTAACCAACTGAGCCACCCAGGTTTAACTTTTACTATATAGATGCTTTTATTATTCTCCACCTCAAGTCTCATTTGAAAATTAGGTAACATATAATTAATAAATCTTAGTCTTACCTTACATTCTTTTAAAATAAGCAAACATTTGGAAATCCATATTAACAACATAATCCAAATGTATGAGCCTTACATTCTTTTAAAATAAGCAAACATTTGGAAATTCATATTAACAGCATAATCCAAATGTATGAGCTTTTTAGTATATATGTAATTATCATAACTCACAAAGATTTTCTGATTTGCACTGCTGAATATATTAATCAAAGTAACACTCAACTAGATGTTATCCAGGAAGAGGACAGAAAAAAGTGGGCTACGCAATGAGGCAAAACTGGGAAGTAAAAAAATCTTATAATCAGGCTAATGATATTGACATTAGCATGCATTATCTAGTGTTTAAAAAAGTTCAATATAAATTTAAATCTTATAGGCTCATACTAAAGAACCTTGGATTAGGCTGCTTCCAATGACATACACAGCAAAGAGCAATGAAATTCATTATTAAATTCTAAACTCCAGAGTTTTCACTAACTCAGATAAGTAATCCCAGCTTATTCATAAAGAGTATTTGCTACACGATTGTTCTATCATGAAATCTTAAGCACATTTTTCAGTTTCTATATTAATAAAGAAGCTATCAACAATACTACAAAAAATTCTGTAGAAATGTTTACTATGAGTAGTTGCTAAAATATTTGACCACAATTACATGAATTTATTATACAACCACCAAACCACTTTTTTGACAAAATCAATGCATACAGTAAACTCTTCTCTGGGTATTTATTAGCCCTTGTATACATCATAGTATAAAATAACTATTAATTATTCTGACCCTGAAGCAATGTCAAATTCCAAATATATACAAAAGTAGCTATAATGTTATAGTAATTACCAAATTCTCTGAGGTATGGCAAGCAATTATTGACTCTGATCCTCAAATTCCCCAATGATGCCAGATAGCTGAGTTTAAAGTCACGATTAAGCAAACTAACAGTATTACACTTAAATAGCAACTGTTGGTATGTACACTGTCTTAAAATTCAAGTTCTAAACATATAATAAAGAGAAGACCTACCACAAAGCAAAAAAAAAAGCTAATTTTTGCTACTTGAGTTGCAGTAAGTTTCCCTACAGTTTTGAGTAAGGATTCTTGTTCTTTCACAGTAGGATGTGACATGCGAGACAGCTTGGCTTCCAATGCATGGCTTGATGGAAGCTGTCGAATCTCCATGATATTACTGAACCTTACACGAGACTTTTTGGGAGCTTAAAAGGAAAAGTATAATACAAAATCATTAAATGTCTCCCCTCACATCCAACAAAACCCATAAATTTTAATTTACTGATAAATGTGTATCCTTTAATCCATATATGATCAGACTTGGACAGCAAAGAAAAGCAGTTATATTATTAACTGGAGCAGCTCTGCTCAAAGGGTTAACAGGAAAATGGTTTTCATCTATAAAAATGTTTTAAAGGCTTTAAAATGAGACCAAATATTCAAACAAGGGTTCTGCAATTATGTACATATATTGCCTGGCCAGGATTATAGTATGGTTATTATTTTAGCATTTATTGTGTAACTTTACTTGGATTTTTCCTCATAGATACCCAATTTACGAGAATTATTTTCCTGGTCAAGCATGCGGAACACTCCTCTAGAGGTTCACTCTTTGCAAGAGAGTATTATGGATAAACACTGTCTTACACTGAAGCTGACATTCTTTGCACCATTCACAGATACAAGAAACTCATAATTTGCTATTAGGGGTGTTTAGTGGCATGGCTGAAGAGGACACTGTCCATTTGAAAATACATATATAATAAAACCAATACAGATTTCTGATATTTTCAAATTATTTCTAGCTGAATTAATAAAACCTTCTAGACAAAACTTCTGGAAGACTACAGGCCAAGCCAACACCACATGGAAAAGAAGAAATGCCAGGTGATCCTAGTTAACCCACAAAATCACTAAGTTTGGGGATGGTTTAAATGAAACTAAAATTTCTTCCCATTTCTAAGTTATAAAATTCTAAATTTTGCTTACTTTTTTCAGTATCAATGTTTGTGTTCTCAGGTTTTTCACTTGGAATATCATGAAATTTCACAGGAACATACAAAGGTTCACTCTAGAATGTAACAAAAACAGAAACAAATATAAACAGCAAATATAATAGTTGATATATTGTCTAAAATTTAAGATGAGAGTATATAGTCATATATACTGCTCAAAACACAGCTGTTCACCACCATATTTACAGAGAATTTTCCAAAATATATTGGAACAGCATTGGTACATTATGATATTTAGCCTTTAAATGTTATAAAAACAGACCCCTTTCTCAAGCTAACAGATTATCTCCTATTCCTTTTCATGTATTCTTTTAACAAATACATGCTAAATTTCTACTATGTCAGAAACCGTTATAGATCACGGGGCTATAAAAGTGAAAGAAGACAAAGTCTCTGTCATCAATGATCATGTAGGTTAAAGGGGAAGGCAGACAATAAAGAGATAATTAAGTATATAATGTGTAAATATCTGCCAAATTATTTCCTCTTATTACTTAAAATTCAACTGAAGGTTAAGATTCCTAAAACTATTACAGGTTTAATGGACAGAGAAAAAAATGGCTACCACTTATCAGTTCCTGCAATGCACTAGACACCAAGTCCAGAGCAGTTAAACATATATTTCCCTTTAGTCCTCATAACAACCTCATAAAATGGTATTTAAAAAAACTTGGCGCACCTGGGTGGCTCAGGTGGTTGAGCATCTGATTCTTGATTTCAGCTCAGGTCATAATCTCACAGTTGTGGGATCAAACCGAATTGGGCTCCAGGCTGAGCCTGCTTAGGATTCTCTCTCTCTAGCTCTCTCTCTGCCTCTCCCCACCCCACTCACCCCTCTCACTCACAAAATAAATAAATAAACATTAAAAAAATACTTTTATAGAAGCCGAGATATAAAATAATCAAGTGGTAGACAACTGAACTACCAGGTTTATCTAACCATGCGTTAAAGGTCTATGTTTTTAAATGGTTCTGAATTCTTCTGTTTTTACAAATGTTCTTTAAATGATCTATATTTAAGGCACAATTCTTTAACTAGGCTGTTTCTTAAATTAACAGAAAATGTTTTAATTTCCCTTTAGCTCTTGGCATAGAACTCTGCCAATGAAAAATATTCAGTAAATGAAGAGGCAACAGGATCTTAAAAAAGACAATCTCTTCATTCACTAAACTTTTCATTACAGCATTTGGTCTAGAAAATTTTGACATATCCATCTCACAGATAACAGCAAAAATCAGTAGAAGAGTAGTTATAAGAATAGTCTGCCACCTCAACTCTTCCTTCTACGCTGATAGAGGCAACTGATATTAACCTTGCTGATTTTAAAGATCCCAGACAAAAGAAATGAGATTTTCTCTAAGCTTCATAAATTCTTTAGAGCATCTGGTAGCCTATCCTGCATACAACTACAGTTCTAAAAGGCAAACAATAATAAAGTCACCACACTAGTACTTTATAAACTGGTGTTAAACTTTAGAGTAACATTAAAATTTTTATAAGATAGAATGCCACATTTGGACCAATACATTTTACAGAAAGGCCTTAACAATGATCTACAAAAACCCAGATTTCTACATACTTTCTCTCCAACTAGATTATAAATGCTTAAAATAAGTGAATATGTTAATTACTTTACTGGTTCACTTATTATCTCTTTCCCCCTCCCCAAACACACACTCTCACACACTAGAACATAAGCTATATCTCTAGAGCCTAGAACAAGTGCTTAACAAATATTAAGTGCTCTTAAAATTTGTATAAAAATTTGTGGAATAAATAATCTGCTTATATATTGTCAGTGTCCAGCAAATATATTTGTTTCTAAGTGATAATAATAATAATGAACACAAAGTGACAAAGTTAGTAAGAAACAAAGGACAAAGGACTGTCCCTTAGTATTTTCACTCCATAACCAATATACTCTTCCCCTCCCTCTTTAGAAGGTGGAATTGCTTACTTCTAGGTCCCAGGAAACAAAGTACTAAGTTACAATTCTTATGGAAGGCACCCAGTTTTAAGATATATCTATATCTTAATATAGTGGTGCTATAAAGCTATTTTAGTCCTTCCTGTCATGGCTCAATTCCACCCATTCCACTTCTGATGAGAAAAAAAGCACTTACCAAAGAACTATTCATAGTTGTATCTGTTGTGCAAGCAGCAAAGTACCCTTCAGCATCTGCAAACTACAGATAATGGGACATAAAATACGATTAAACTCATGTTATAAAGTAAGGCTGCTGTCATTCACAGCTCAAAGGAACAGAATCAAGAATCAAGAGTAGACCTTTAAGAGTATAATTATTAATAAAAATAGCAGCTAATGCCAAGTATTCAATCATGCAAGGTAGGTATTATCAACTTCATTTTACTGATGAAGAAACTGAAGCTGAGAGATTTCATCTAAGTGACAGAGCCAGGATTAAAATTCAAGTCAGTCTAAATACAAAACTTACAACCTTTTCACAATACTATTATAACATTTCAGATTGGCAGGAAAAGGACAGGTGGGTTAGTGAAAAAGACAAAAAACATCTTAGTGTTACACTGATAACAGTATTAACACCAAGAACCCCCTAAATGGATCTCAGGGCCTGGACTGCACTTGGGAGAACTCTGGGCTAGTGCTGCAGAAGCATGCTTTTATTCATACCCACAGCTACCCTATGATCTCTGCTTAAAGTCTGAAGAAGTTAAATAACTTGCTCAAGGTCAACAACAAGCAAATGACAGAACAAGATTCAAACACCAAAGCCCAGGCTCTTAAAAGAATTCTTATAAGTCAATAAGAAGGAGTCAATGTAGAAAAATAAACAAGATATAGACAACTCAAAAAGAATTCTATTACACAACAAATAAAAGAAAAAGCTACCAAAAGCAGGCAGATTAAACAAAGTATCACTGTTCACCTGTCAAATTAATAAATGTTGGGGTTTGGTAAGGATTCAATCACATGCATTGCTAACAGTGATATGAAATATAGACAGTAATTTAGCAGTAAGAAGCAAAAGCCTGAAAAATGGCATTAGTTTTTATCCAGCAATTAGGCTTTGCAAAATTTATCCTAAGTAAATAACTACAGATGTGTATAAAAAATATTCCTATTTATTTACATCAAAAGAGAAAGTGAAAACAACCTAATTATCAAGGAACAGTTAAACAAAATAGAAAAGATAATAACAAATGTTTATTTATTGGCCTGGAAAAGTGTTTATGATATATTGTTACATGGAAGGCAAAATCAGGTTAGACAATGATATTAAACTTATTTCTACTATAATTTTAAATATATGCACATTAATACACAGCTCTAGAAAGTATCAAATATATATAGTGGTGTTAGAATGGTGAGATTATGGACAGACTATTCTTGTTCTTCTTATTACCATAATTTGTCTTCAACAATAAACATTCATCACTACTATAAAAAAAACATTAAAAAATGTTCTAGGAATACTACATTATTGTTCATGATATACCACTAAGAACAGAAAGCCAGTTGTAAAACAGGACATAATGGTACAATTCCAATTTATAAAATATAAAATGAAAATACATGAAAAAGAATGGCAGGATATATGCCAAAATACTCTGGGGTTATTCTGTGAATGTTGGAATTACTTATTTTCTTCTTTTTGTCCCTCTGTATTTTCTAAATTTTCAATAATGTGCATGTATTATATACACATAACATATTCCTACATGTAATACTACAATGTATACACATTTCTATAATGTACATTACCTTTGCAAAGTAAAAAATAGAACGTGTTCATTAGAAAAGACAATAAATAATACTAGTCTAATGCACAAAAAATAATACACACCAAAAAAATAAGAGAAAGAAAGTATTTGGAAAGAGTGGGGAATGGGAGTTAGTTATTATTTAATGGATAGAGTTTCTGTTCAGGATAATGAAGAAGTTCTGGAGATGGATAGTGGTGATGGCTGCACAGCAAAGAGAATATATTTAATGCCAGCAAGCATTTAAAATGTTCATTATATGACACTATACATTTATTTTTATTTTTTAATTTATTTTGGGGGGGGAGAGAGAGAGAGAGAGAGAGAGAGAGAATGAGGGGAGGGGCAGAGAGAGAGCAGGAACAGAGGATCTGAAGCAGACTCCGTGCTGACAGCAATGAGCCTGATGCAGGGCTCGAATCCACAAACTGTGAGATCATGACCTAAGCCAAAGTGGGACGTTCAACCAGCTGAGCCACCAAAGTGTCTCTATGCCACTATACATTTAAAAATGGTTAAAATTGTAAATTTTATGCCATCTATATCTAACTACAATAAAAAAGGGGGGGAGAAAAGGGGCTAAAATGGTAAATCTGATGTCATGCATATTCTATCACAATTTTAAAAGAAGAGAAAAGGAGAGAGATGGGAAAAAGAAGAGAATGTAAGAGGCAGTTTAATATTCTTCACTCTCAAAAATTCAGTGTCTACTTCTACAAGGAAGATACATCACTATATAAACTGCCATTTCTCTCAACTCTATGAATCAGCACATTATGTGCTGATTATCAATGAAAGAATGTAATTTGGTTAGCCAAACATCTGAAACATGGCCTAAATATGCTATTCTCATTTCAATAAATAAAACCTTGAATTCATTTCTACAATCAACTTTACCACTAATTAGATGCTATTCAACCCATGTGCAAATGACCAAAGACTCCAGATATTCTTCTTACTCCTCACTTTCATCTTCATCTCCACATTAATTGACTTAGGCCAGCTCAATAATTTTTAACAACTCAAAGGATGTTATGAGGTAACAGCAAGAAAGTGATTATGCACCTTTGATTTCTCATAAGATATTTTGATACCAGGTTGATTAGAAGAAGAATTTAAAATTTTGGACAAAAGTCGGTTTCTCTTATGTTATCTTCATTCATTTTAGCAACTTGAAATTTGACAGTCCTTTGAGACACTACTAACTTTACACTTTGAAAAAATAAATCCCCTCTCCAACAAGCACTAAAAATTTAAAACTTACAAAAGCAGCATGCTTTCCTCGAAATCCTCTTGTACACTGTTGTCTCCATGGCTTCCAAATAATAAAGCCCAAAAGGTATAGAACAAACATAGATGTTTTTGCAAAGGTGCTGAAGAACGGCTTGTTGTACTGAGTAAAAACATACTGTAGAGGAAAAATTTACAGAAACTATGAAATGACTTTAAACCTTATTACTTATCTCTAATAAAATAAGCCTATTACATGATTTTTAACTCTAGAAGTTCAAGTGAAACAGAAAATCAAAAAGGATTATGAAAATATTTTATACTCATTTCTAAATATTGTATTTGCTTATATACAAAGAATATTCCCAAACAAAACAGCAACAACTTCCAAAAAAAATGTTCTGTTCAACATGCATCAAAAACCTACTATGCAAGAAAGAGTACTTGTGCTAAAGGCTAAGGAAAAATAAGACAGCCTTTCTTTTCATATATTTATGAAAAGAACAGCATAATGTGTTAAGTACCACAATAGGGGTATACAGGTACCATGGAATTACCAAAGGGAGACAGACCATTTTGAGGATTATGGAAGTTTCCTAAGAGAAGCTATTCTTGAGCTGAGTGTGGGGGACTGAATAATAGCCCAGAGGAAACAGCATAAAGGAAGGTAATAAAGCAGAATAGTGTATGAATAAAACTGCATGAAGTTTAATAGTTAGGAAATTATATAAAACCTGTCACCTTCATTTAACTTAGAACTCATGATTTTCTTGTTTCCTAAAAAAATATTCCTAGTTATGTATACTGACAGGCCTGGAAAAAATGACCCAGGAGGAGTAAGCACCTATAGAATCCTGATGGTAATCTGTATTATCCTGCACTAAAAGAAACCATGGGTTCTTAAAGAAATGACCAAATCCAAGTATGGAGCAGGAAAAGTACCAGATGAGCCTGGGGCATCTTACACCAGAAAACAAATAGGATGTTAAAGATTAATAGGATCATACTGAAAGGACAGTAGAGCCAATTCATACTGAAAGGACAGTAGAGCCAATTTGAAGGGGCCCCCACTGGTCAAAGATAGGACAGTTTAAGCATAAAACGGAGTAACTACAATTGTCTGAAACACAGTAAATATACAAAAATCCATGAATGTATAATGACACTCTATGGTTACTAATGGAAGTTGCTAAGCAACATTACTCTAAAATGAACAAAAGAAAAGAATCAAGATTTATTCAACCCTTCCTATATGAAACATGTTTCAGGATAACCACATAGTAGTTACAGAAAGCTCTCCGTAAAGAATTCCAGCTAATAAATGCAGAAGTAATGACCCTTAGAAAAATCATCATTTTACAACCCCTAAATGAAATAGTCCATCAAGAGAATAATCATATGGATAACTGACTACTACCTAAAGGTTGGTAAGAAATTTTATAGTGCCAAAGTTGGCATCACCCAAAGTAAGACTTGCAGCCATTTGTGACTCATGTGTTATCACGGGAAGTACCCAGTTCCACCAAGGTATTTTTCCCGAAAAACTGAACCTGAATCAAATCAAGGCTTAACCTAAGTACCATTTTACAGGAAGTAAGCGAAAAGGAGGAGCAAGTTAAATGACACCCCAAGGAAACAATCAGCAAAATTTGGAATGTGTGTTATGAAGTGAATATGTATGTCTTCCCCAAGTTCATATGTTAAAATCCTAACCCTTAATGTGATGGTATTTGGAGGTGAGGCTTTTGGAGATAACTAAGGACAGAAGCCTCATGGATGGAATTAGTGCCTTATAAAGACACCACAGAATGCTGCCCTTTCTGCCTTGAGAGGACACAGTGAGAACACTGCCACCTAAGATCCAGGAAGCATATCCTCACCAGACACTGCATCTGCCAGTGCCTTGATCTTGAGCTCTCCAGGCCACAGATGTGAGAAATAAATGTTTGTTGTCTGAGTCACCCAGGCTAATGGCAGTCTTGTTGTGATACCCAGAATGTGATATATCCTATAGGAAAAATGATCCAGCTTTTCTGACAAATTAATAGCATGATTTTTAAAAAAGGCAGGGGTGGGGGAGTACAGTTAAGGAACAAAAGTGAATTAAAAGCAATTTGAATATGGATCAGGTACCAGATGATTTTAAGAAATTATAATTTTGTTAGATATGTTAATGGCAGAGTGATCATATTTTTAAAAATTAGGACCTTTCAGTTTGAGGTGAATATGAAAAAATTTATAGGTGAAAGGATAAGTGGCTAGAATGTGCTTTAAAATAGTCCAGGAAAACATGTCTGGGAGGTTGGTAAGAGAAGATTGGCAAAATTTGATAGTTGTTAGGTATATGAAGATCCATTATACCATTCTCTCTACTTTGTAGATGTTAGAAAATTTTTATAATACAAAGATTGATTTTCTTGTTGAAATGCACAATATATCTCAAAAGTTTAATGAGCATATTTGGCTGAAAAATTAGACACATCATATATGCTCTTGGATAACAAAATTATAAAATATTATCTTATCAACAGATTGGAATTGCTTAAGTTATAATTTGATCAGGTCCTCTTCTGTCCTAAATTTTATTACCAGATAAATAAAAATAAAACCATTTATTTAAAACTAAAATAAATTTTTAAAGATAGGCTTATTTCCCTGTCAACATTAAAGAGATTTCTTTGTGGTTAAACTACAGAATGTTAATCTAAAAAAAAAAAAAAAAGTTATAGAAGAGTGAAAAATAAATGGCTGTTGTATTCCAGAGCCTACTTCCAAAACAGCTAAAAATTTATTTATTCATTGGCTACAATGTCAATATCAATAATTTACTTAGCTATGATGTGAGATGACCAGCAGTAGCAAACTGCTTTTTTTCACATTTAAGTTCATTTTATAAATGCTAGTTTCCTTTTGTATATTAGCCTTAAGACTGCAACATGTAAGTTGAAAAGTAATTTCTGAAAGTGAAACTTCTTTATAAAAAGCATGTCTTTTTATAGAGATTAACTAAACAAATAAAAATAACTACATATATAATTAGAAAGAAAAACTACTTTGTGCACTCAAAATAACACATTACTATCACGAGTACTCTGATAAAGGCAAAATAAAATTTAACTGAATGCGCTGTGTACCACGTATTTTACAATGTTTGAATTGGCAAATGTATAACTGTGCATGCACTCATGCATATGCACAATAATGAAAACTCTGATCACTTTCACTCATTTGTCCAAAAGCATTCTTACTATCCACTAAATGGTGACAAATGGTTTTGCATCCTAGATACTTGTTCCACTAGAAAATAGTATTTATAAACAACAGCAAAAACCCTGAATTTACTAGAAAACAGCAGATACATATTCAAATATTAAGAAAACATGCACATAGTCTCATTTTTTGTAAATAACTCTCTAGAAGACAGATGAAAACTCTACGATACAAAAAAGAGTATCTTTTCTTTCAACTTGAATTGACACGAATTCACTTATCAAAGAAAATATAAGTAATTCAACATTCAAAATACTGCTTTTTTAAAAAAAATATTTTTATGTTTATTTTATTTTTGAAGGAGAGACAGAGCATGAGCAGGGCAGGGGCAGAGAAAGAGGGTGACCCCGAATCTGAAGCAGGCTCCAGGCTCCAAAATGTCAGCACAGAGCCGGAAGCGGGGCTGGAACTCCCAAACCGTGAGATCATGACCTGAGACGAAGTTGGATGCTCAACTGACTGAGCCACCCAGGCGCCCCCAAAATACTGCTTGAAGTAAGCACGAGAGATAGAAATGATTAGAGAGATACTGCAGATTGACAGCAGCATTACTAGAATGCAACATCATTCCTACACAAGAATTACATACCGAAGTAAGTTCTGAGGATGCGACCCATATCACATCAACAAGTAGGAGAATAACAATCCCAAGAGCCATTCTCCTGCGCTGGGTGAAACCACTGCTCTGGGAATTCATCCGGTTCATGATAAATACACACACCATCTGCAGTCTGTTTTGTAGAAAATACAGATCCCATTAGAGAAGATTTCGAAAAATAACCATAGAAAATGAGAAATTCGCGTAAGAGAAACAAACATCACTTGTTAGCTAAGGTTCATTTTGAAGGTCACACGGTAAATTAAAAGTTGGATTTACCTTACTTTGAAGGCCTTTCTGAGATCTTCAACAGCAATGCCTGAAAACTTGGCAGATCTGAGTCTAAAAGGAGGTAAAGAACTCAGCGCACCTAAAAACAACCATAAAATGATGATTACGAAAACATCAACGACTCAAAATAAGGTTCATCACATCTTTTTTAACTCTTAAAATTCAAAATGAAGAAATGAAAAGAAAAATACCTAAGTGTGTTAAATACAATTGACACTATTCTCTAGCCTCTAATGGTATTCACTATATACTTCAAATTATATTCAGAAACGTACACAGTACAGAAAAAAAAAAAAAAGGCCAGTATTCAACAAACGGAATATTTAACAATAGTTAACTACTGGTAAATAGCTCCTCCAAGTTTCGTAAATACACAACTCCATTCGCCTCTCCCTACAGAGGAATCCACAGGGGGCAAGGTCTAGACTCGCGCCTGTTTCTGAGTGTCTTCTCGGTCCCCTGTCTCTTGGCAGGGGAGTTTGATTATTTGAGAGGAAGTGATTTGTTTTGAGTCTTGAGGGCACGTTTCCAAACGCCTCACGTGGTAGAAGGGGAGGATACTCCACGCTCCCGCACCCACCCCTGCCTGTCACCGCATCTACTTTCTTTAGATCGAAAGAGAAATTCACGAGACGAGTGAGGAAACAGCTGTTAAAGGGAATCCTCTTCCTTTGAGGGAAAAAAAAAAAAAAAAAAAAAAAAAAAAAAACAAAAGTTAAGCCGGTGACGCCTCCTCAGGGAGTGAGAAAAAGCCCGGAGGCGGCGCTCGAGCAGCTCCCACTAGTGCCTGACTCCTCACCAGGCTCACACGCCCCTGTCAGCCTTCCCCTCACGCCGCCCCTCGGAGACCAGTACCATTTCGGCCAGGGCGCTCCGACAGCCACCAACAGCTGGGGGTGGGGCCGTTCGTGGACACTCGGTGCCGGTTTGGGCGCAGGTTGATTTCGCGGCCCTCCCCTGCCTGCCTACCTGGCCTTCCTGCCCCGCGATGGTGTCGTGGCGGCACCATGAGCGGCCTCGGCCCGGACCCGCCGCCGCCCAGCGCCACGGCCGCGGCCTCGGACTCACAGAGCTGTCGCGGCGCCTGACATTGCGCTGCGCTGGAGGCCCAGCACCTGAAGCCGCGGTGTCCCTCGGGGCGAGGCTGCGGACGCCACCCAGCCCCACTCGGCCCAGAAGGGCGGGAGTGGGCGAGGGGAAGGGACCGCTCAGGCAGCGATGGCCGCGGAGGCCCGAAGCTGGACCCCGGCCACGCCCCCAGCCGGCCAGCCTGCCCCTCCGCCCCGCCCCCCCAGCCCGATGGCGGCGGCGCTGAGGTTACGTCACGGCGGCGCGACGGCCCACCGCGCGTGGGCGCGTCTCCAAGGTGACTTGGCTGCTTGGAGCGGAGTACTACAGGCTGCAAGGGCGCGGAGCTCGAAGACTATTCCGTGACGCTGGGGAGGAGCGGAGATAGAAGAAGTAAAGCAGGGTGTGGTGGAAGAAGAGGGAAGCGGGCGTGGGTGGCTGGGGCAGAATGAAGGACGAGGGAGGTGGCCGAGGCTCCACATGGCCCCGCCCTAGAACCAAAGCTAGCAGCTCCGTTTCCTAGATTTGGAGAGGACCTAAAAGCAAAGTGGCTTGGCAGAACTTTTGCTTTCTGGAACCTTTTGTGTGTAAAACTAGATCCCAGTTCTCGGAGGTAGAAACTGTGTCCGTAGGGGAAAGCTACTTCACCTCCTTGGCTCTCAATTTTCTCATATGATGAGAAAATGATGGCACCTGCCTCATCTGTTTATGTATATCTACACACTTGTGTACACACACACACACACACACACGTATGCATGCCAGGATTACATTAGTTTACAAATGTGAAGGGCTTAGATCAATTCATGGCTCATGGAACTCCACAAATGTAAATAGTAAGCTGTATAGATTTTTTTCTTAACTATCTTTTGACTATCCCATAAAAAATGCTTGACCAACGTCCTAATTTGTATTTAGAAAAGAAAAACAAGACTAAAGGGTTCTGTAATTTAACTGGAGTTATCCACCACCAGTGCGTTTTTAACATCTTCAAGTGCAATAGTAAGAAATAGGAAGAATTTAACTTTCTTGCCGTAGTGACAATATACTACATTTTTTAATTCTTTTAAATATTTTGTTTCACTGAAATTACATATTCAGATGACTAATGAAACAATATCAATGGACATTTTTTGTGTTGCTCAACCAGTTTCTAATAAATGATCAGTATCAAGCACCTCTAATGAATTATTCAGAAACCTGTCATTGAGAGTTGGAAAAATCTTAACCATGTTCTTAAAATTACTACTTAGGGGAAATGTGGTTGCATATAGTAAGTAATATAATCAGCACCCTTTTTATTCTTTTCTTTAACATTCTTTAGGGTGACAAGCTCATTATATGCTACATTTATAATATAGACTGAAAAAATAATAATAATATAAATACCTCTGAGTATCTAAGGATCATGAAAACTTCTAATTCTTAATCTGACCACAATTTGTTTACTAATCTTGAGGATGATTCTACTCTCAATTTGGCCTCAGTTTTCCATCTGTAAACATAGGGAGGCAGTTGGTTTTTTCTTAATTAAATAATGCAAATGATAGTACTTTGTAAATGTATGTAAATGCAGGTTACCATTATTACCACCTGTTTCCACAGCATCTGCTAAAGGACAATGCTGTGATACTGTTGTGATAGTGAAGATAAGGTTAATTCTAGACCAGCTCTTCAAGCAGTCTCCAACCCTAGGTTAATCGTCCATTAATGTATTTCCCCAGTTCCCTCTGAAGGAGATTCCACTGTATTGCTCTGTGACAACAGATTCTAGTGTGATTTCTGTGCTGTGATACCATCTTAATTTCAGGCATTGCTTTCTTTGGACCCCAAGTATATATCTTGGATAATATATACTCAAGGATAAGCCCTCAGTAACTTCAAAATCTCACACCAAATACCAACTGTCTACATTTTCATATGTAAGTTCCACAAGAGCAAGGATTTTTGTCAATATCATTCTCCATATATCTTCACCATCTAGAACAATACCTAGGACAGAGTTGGCAATAATATCTGTTGAATGAACTTGAACTTCCTGCAGTCTCTTGACCTTTATACCTAATTTTCCCAAGTCTCCATTTCTGTCAGTTGGTACCACCTTTATTCTAGTCTCACAGGACTAAACGGTTAACTTATTATTTTCCTTTTTTACTCTTCAAAGTTGATAACTCTTCACTGAGATCTCACAAAAGTAGACCCTTAAAATTCATCAGGTATTAAGCCTGACACCTTCAAAAAAACCCACCAGAAATGTAGAGTGTAATTTCTCCCACAAAATACATATGTCACAATATGAGTACGAAAACAAAGTTGTATATGTACAGAGCAGCCACTAGCTAACTCTCCTGTGCACCAGCCTCAAAGACTACAATTCAATTCAAGCTCTAGTAAAATTATACATGACTAGGAGTTACTGATCAAATCCTGGCCATTTTGGGCCAGTTGTCGCAGAGATTGTGGTTGGCTTTCTGAACTGACTGCTGCAATGGTTGTGGGTCAGAGTTCTATTTTTATATATGCTCTGGTCTTTGTCCCTTTGTATTTTCAGTCTCACAAAAGTCTATGTATCTTTCTATTCTCTGAAGTAGCTACCAGCATGCTGGGCATATAGCTCAATAAATATTTGATTTTATTTGCTTCCAAGACATTGTTTAATGGATTGAGGTTTGCAATTAAACAAATTGTGGTATAGAAAAGACTGCTTTTGAATGTGTCCCTTACTGAATTTTATGGGGTAAATCATATGCTTCAGGGAAAGTCATAAACTTGGGAGGTTCTGAGGTATCTCAGGTACTGGGGTTTATTGAATACAACCAAGTCTTAGATTTTAAAGGGTTTAAAGGCAGGTTAGATGAGCAAAATATCAACACAAATTTGACTAAAAGTTCCAAATGTACATAGAATAGGCATGCCAAGTCAGTGCTTGATTGATGATCATTCATTGCGATGTCTTTGAGGGCATGGACTAGAGTTCTGAAGGCATGATCACTTCAAACATCTAAGTAGAGAAGGCTTTAGGAACAGGTAGAATCTGAGTGATGTGTAGTGTAGTGTGTAGTGATGTGTAGGATTTAATGAGGGAGCAGGGAGAAGAATGATATTTTTTTTTCCTAAGAGAGTAAAATTCTGAGTGTAAGGGAGGAAAAATTATTTTTCCTTTTATCCCCCTAGGTTCTCCTGCTAATACGGTGTAAAATTAGACTGATAAAAGACAGACTGATCAAATAAAAATAGTTTATTAACATGTACAACACTCATCATTCAGGAGAAACCTCAATGAAGAGTAACTCAAAGGGGTGGTTAGAACTTGGGCTAGTATAGGCTCTTAACAAAACAATAATTTGTAGAGAAATAACAAAACAACAGAGAAAGAGTTTTATTAAACTTTTAAGAGCACTAAACCAATGGAAGGTAAATATACGAGAGAAACTAACGGAATAAAGTTCGTGTTGGTTCATCTTGACACTGATGTTCCACCTTCTTCATGGCCATGAAACTTCCTATTAATGACAGTCCTCATTTTTCACAAATTTCTCCTTTTAGTCAGATAAGGGAAGCCTTGGGAAGACTTCTTTCTACATCTATTGATTCTCTTTTGTCTCCAGCTCAAAATAATCCTTATGCCAAAGTAGCATATTTTGGGGTGGCATATTCTGGTCCCCTACATGAGCAACAGTAAAAGGTGTCCAGAGGCAAGTTATAAAACTGATTGGGCAGAGCACAGCATGTATGTAGAGAAACAGTGGGAAATGAGACAGATCAGATGAGTTCTGATGTTGCAGCATGCTCTGGAAACTAGGTTAGAGAGTTTGGACTTTTATTTTATATATAATGGAAACTAAGAATTTTAAATAAGAGAGAAACACTTTTAGTAAATCAGAAATTACTGACTACCCACTTGACACTTACCAGTGTGGTAGTACTGTGGGGACATTGCATACAACGAGGAGCCTGCCTTCAAGAAATTCATGTTATAGGCAAAACTGACTATGTAATTAGGGCAAATATTTGCTAAGCTAGGAAATACTGAATCTAAATGTGCTTCTCTAGTATCCCTTTAGCACTCTGTGCTAGCCACCAGATTGATGCTCATTTTGAAAAGGGTCTTAACTTGAATATTACTTCCTTTTGTATCTTCCCGTTGAAAACATAATCAGCAAGTACTAGACAAGAAACTAAAGGCCATCTAATTAATCGCGAGGAACTTAAAATGGCATTGTCCATGCCCACCCTGTGCCTTCAACCAGCTGACCAGGCCCCAGCCAGCTGAGTGGCCCATGCCAGCAGGCTAGAGCATGGTAATGAGTTCTCTGAGAGCCATATCCACTTCCCAACGTGATCTTGACCTCAGCTTCTAACTTATTCTTGTATCCCCCATCTTTAGCTTGTGCTCTGTTCCTGATACTTGATACCTGATAGCACTCATCCAGCACAGCGTTGGATCTTTCCTCTCTTATCATTTGCACCAACAGCTGAGCTCCCATCTGCTGCTAGGCACTAAGTAAACAAGTCAGACTGAGCTTCATAGTCCCTGGAACCCTTCCTCAGCCCATGCAACCTATGAAGCCCATGTGGCCTTTGTACAGTCTGCGTTGCCTCAACTCCCAACTGAAAAGACTTGAAAGAAAAAACAGATTGAAGCTAAGACGTGTAACACGTTGTTAGATGTGACTATTCTTGTCTTCTGCTTTGAGCAGAGGCCCCAAAACACAGAATAAACAATAGGTAGCAAAGAGAGTCATTTTTAAGGTGAGGTCTCAAACAGTCTGTGGGAGACTTATAAAGGGGGTGTCCAACTCCAGTTGTACCATTAGCACACCATTTGTATCCAAGCTGTATATGCAGACTAAGAATCCATGAAAGGATTCAAAATATGGGAAAATATTGGCTTGAAGAGAGTTGTCATGTAATCTGAATATCCCCATAGGGAATTGGGAGGTGTGCTTCTCTTCAAGCCAACCAA